GAATTGGCAGATGGGGTTTGGGCTACGGTGTACTTGGAGGGTTTATTACCTGTCCATCGAAATCCGAGGAGGGTCCATTTTGTCTGTCCACTACCTTCAACCACTAATTCCTTCATGCTTTCATTGACCAGTCAAGTCCCTTACTAACCATCAACGAAGTGCATGAAGCAGCTAAGCGGTCTTGCAATGTCGACTTTTGTAAAAGTGTACAGTTATAGTAAGGAAAGACTCTTGGAATTATAATTCATATGCGCAGCGATGAGGGTGTAGTTGGAGACCATTTATGTACTCATGAGAAATTCACTTCGGTCCTTGTTTCATCTTTTGCCCCAAGACATGCAGATTTCGTGCAAATGTTTTGATTGAATGCTCATGTTCAGAGAGATAACAGACGACGAGGAGGAGCCAACAACATCTGCTGTTCCGGAGGACACCACTGTAGACACTGCAGCTCCATCTGAAATCGAAACTCCTCAAAATGCCCAGAATGGAGTGGTTGAGGAGGCTGAGGAACGGTAAGTAATGCTATACTTAGGTTATCGATTCTCAGTCTTTGCCTCGTTTATTTGATGGGATGACTTTTGATTTGAATCTCTCCTTCATTTTTCCATGCAACCTGCTGAGCTAGTTTGTAGCCTTACATGATTTGTTAATCTTATAGCGTTACTTTTTTGCAAGGAAATGTATGATGTTTGCTGATTCATTTGCTACTGTAAAGCAAAATAATGCAGTGAACTGATGACGGTGAGTCATGGGCCTCTTATTTTTTCAGCACACCAATCGTGGAGGCATCATCGTTACCAGCGAAAACACCCATATTTGAAGCTGTTAATTACCCGACCATTCCACAACTTTCTGAGGCCGCCATGACTTCGTCGTACACGAGCACCGTGGCACCACCGCGCTATGAGAGTATCACGAAAGGGTATTTGGAAAAGGTGACTTCTGTTTCACTGTAAGATTTGCATGATTTCTTGCTCTTTCAGAACATATCCATTAATCATGAGCCACAAGTTGCTGATGCTCCTCCTTTATATCCGTCCTTATCCAAACTTCACTATGAAAAGGATAAACATGGTCTTCTTACGGAGCAGAATCTGCTTGCATTTTACCACAACCCACTGTACATGGCTAGTGATGAGTTCGTAGATAGATTTGTACAGGTATCGTTTCCTATGGTGTTGCTATTTACCGTCATAGTAAGCTGCTAAGACATTGAATGATTATTATTTGCAGAATAATTTGATATCAGCGGGTCCTCTTTTTCCTTTGTTGAAACGATTGAAGAGGCTGAGTGAACAAATGGGTATCAGTGAAGTCAGCGAAAAGGAAAACACAGAAAATCTAACCAAATGCCTGCGGGACTCCTGGGTGATGCAACAACAAACATTTGAGACTAAGGTAAGCTTATGTGTGCTCTACGAGTCAAGCTAACTTCAGCCGCTATGATCGTACTTCTTTCATCAGCTTGGGCTTAGAAAATCTGATTTGCATGCTTTTTCCAAGAAAGTTATCTTGTGTTTAGGGCAAGTGCGGTGAGAACAGAGATGCCTCAGGGACGGGTCGCTTCCACAAAGCGGTTCTATGTATGCCAAAAGTCGAAGAGTTGAAGAATCTGCTAGCTGCCAACCGAACCCATATGCTAGATGAGCGAATTTGCCAAGAATCCCAATTTCGATCCACAGCTTTGCAGGTAATCAGGTTTTGATCAGATGTACCCGTCCATACCGATTACTGTATAGGTGCAATGGTTGATAATCTCTATCAATCAACAATTTATGGAAGAGAATGGCTTGTCACTGCAAAGTCCTCCGACGCGTAAATCAT